TTGTTAAATATAAACTGCTTTTTGTGCTCTTCTGAATGCTGCAAGATGCTTGGAGCTGCTTGAAGATGCTAGTCTTCGATAGGCTAGGCCTTCCTCTCTATTCTGGCATTCTGCATTATAGTCCACAGATACAACCCTTCCATTTGATACCAATGCATACTTAGTATGGATATGATGCTTGCGAGTACTTTGGATGAGTACTCACGGTTGCTTTGCTACCCCTTCCCCCCCTTCTTATTTCTTTCCGGTTGCCGCGACCAGATGGTGGATCCCAGGAGCCAGATACCACCCCGACAACTACTACTACATGGAGACCGCCGACGGCCAGGAGTAGTTAGGAGGTGCCAGGCAAAAGGCCTTACCTCTTCGATCGCTGATGTTTTTGTGTTCGCCTTCTTAAGGCAGTCTTGTTTAACTTATGTCTGTACTTAGATATTGTTGCTTCCGCTGACCCTCTTGTGTTTTGAGCTTGTATTCGAGCCTTCGAGGCCACTAGCTTGTAATATAAAGCTTGTATTGTTTTAATTTGTGTCTAGAGTTGTGTTGTGATATCTTCCCGTGAGTCCTTGATCTTGATCGTACACATTTAGGTGTATGATTAGTGTATGGTCAGATCGCGGGTGTCACAAGTTGGTATCAGAGCCGACTTCTTGTAGGAATCCCCCTTTCAAACTCCTTGACCAAAGTTGAGTCTAGTTCTTGAAAAACTATTTTACTACCATGGTTGTGCGGCTTACGGGCTCGCGTCGCCATTGGTGGTATTAGGATCTTTCATTCCTCGTGTATACTCTGGGAATCTGATCTTTCTTCTATTCATGTTAAATAAGTACTTTCTCCCGAAGAGCCCCGGCCCTCACTCCAGATGATTGCTTGGTGCACTAGAAGATTTTGAAGATACTCTCCGATGTTTTCCCGAGACCCTTGTGCCCTTCGCCGTTGCGATCCCTACCGCCGATAAATCCTTGTGGGTAACATCCTACATTTGTCGTTCATACCTTCATCCCCAGTTTGTCTTGTTATTAGAAGATGCCCTGAAATACTATTCGATCTTCCAAAATTTATCTAAAACCTATTGCTCTTGAAATTCTTGCTTTCTTGCATTATGGTTAAATCCATAAGTCTAGTAAACATATTGGCATCCTTTGTCACTATCATTTTGTGTCCGTTGATTCTATATGTTGTGGATGCTCGCAATCCTCAGTCGAATCCTAGAATTCATCCTTCCAGCTCAGATATCATTTTGATTAGGAGCTGGTTCTCGACCGCTCAAATTGCCGTCGATTATACCCCTAAGTCTATTCAACTTATCCATCCTTGATTAGAGCGTTTGCTTCTTATCCATTGATTTAGGAATCATAATTCCTTTGCATTTGAGCTTTGAATTAATCAGTTGTTTCTATAATCTGATCTTCTTGCATTCTTTCTTCTTCTAGTTGAGTACCGATGCTCACATCAGATCCCTTGTGGACCATCAGATCCTTTGCTGGGTTTTATCCGACAACATCCTTCATATTCAGTAACCTTGTGAGCCTTTCCTTGGATACATAATGCCTTTGGTAAATTGTATCCCCACTCTTGTCAGCCATACTCTGCTTCCGGGCTTGAGTTAATTACTCGTGAAATTTGTGGTATATGTTCCTAAGATGCCCCGATGGGTTGAGTCTTTGTCTTCCCTAAATTCGTGTGAACTCGAAAGTTATGCGGGTTATACTCTACTGGCTTTTCGTCAGGTAAGAATTCAATGCTACAACTTCTTCGAAAGCGAGGAGTGAATGTAAAGTTGTGCATTAGAGAAGTGGGAGTAGACCTTGAGCCTTTATGTTCATGCCCATGGACCCGATGTGGGACTTATCATGAAAGCTTCTTGCTACAATAATAATCCCCTTTGTGATAAGTTCATCTTGTATCTATATTTGGTCCTTTGCAACCGTGGTTCCGACCACATTGTTCTTCTTTGATCTCATTTCTCGGTCAAGTTAAAGTACTTGTCTGCAGATCTTTTTACCCGTCCAACCCCTATCCTGTTCTACCTTCAAGTATTACCCTCTGGTATCTCGAGAATATCATGGAACTACATAACTTCTTATGAGTTCTTCATCAACTATTATTTCTCGCCAATTCCAATTTCCCACGGGTTCTGAGTTGTTAGACACTCGAGAACATCGATAATTGATTCGAGTCTACAGTTTCCCTTCCATTGTTTTGTTTAACCTTTCTTGTAACCTAACATATCCGAGCAGCGATAATTCCTTGCTTATGTAACACCTCGGTGCACAAATTCTATCAGTAAGACCTTGTTACTATTGTTGATGACATTCCAGTAGCCACCGATGGATGAGAACATTGCCTATTGCTCCACTTCGTCTTAACGAGCAGAAAAATGGTTCTCTTCGTCCCTCACCCTTGGTTGCTCGATGAAGACTCCTCCAGCAAAGGGTCCCATGGCACGACCTCAAGCGGCACCACGAGGAGGCTCGATTCTCGCTCCTCTGGTTTCTCGATCTTGGAGCGATAGTTCCACCACCTCGTCCTCACAGCCTGCCTCGGGGAATCCGACTACTCCATGGCCCTGAGGAGGTACTCGATGTAGAGCCCAACGGATCCTCCATGGATCGCATCCCTCTCTCTCTTTAACAGGCATGGGCGCATCCACTGCACCGCGGCCACTAACTGCCGCTGGTTCTCAAATCAAGAGACGATCTCCCTCAACCTGCCTAACTTGACCTCATAGGTGTTGGCGATCTGCACGATCTCGTCCTCCATCTGCGTGGCAAAGTTGGCCTTCTCGCCACCGGCGATCTGCACGATCTCATCCTTCATCGAGGTTTTGGCTTGGATGGAAGAGGGGGGTGGATGTGGAAGAGGAGATGAGCAAAGTTGTTGTTACAATGGCAGTGGGGAGGAGCGGCGGTGGATCTGGAATGCAGGAGGAGAGCGAGGAGAGGGCCGCGGTTGTGTAATGGCAGTGGAAGAGGAGAGGACCCTGGGCGGCAGTTCTGCATTGGAGGAGAGGGGCGGCGCGTGGATATTTTTATGGTGACTAAATTGCCCCTCAATTAAGAAGCGAGTCCACATTGTCATTAGTACGGACCCCACACATTTTAGTACTTTTTGGTGAGTACTACCTAGTACTACCTATTTCTCTACCGTCAGATCAAGAGGAACGGACTGCATCTAAAAACACCAACCACCCTAAAACTTGTAATTTAGAAGATGTTCCACCTGTACATGAAAAATGCAAAATTAGTAACAAAAATGTGGACATGCGTTGAAAAATAGGAAAAGAAAAAACCCAGTGAAGAAACACAGTATACCCAGAAAAAAAACGTGTAGAAACTTCTACAGCCGGTCCAAATCGGTAAGAGAAGCTTTGTAAGACCGGCCATATATACTCTGCCAGCGGCCAGCCCATGTAACGAACGCTTTCTGTGAGACGGAGTATCATCTTGCAGAAGGCGAGATAGCCCTGACGGGGGTATCAGATCCTTTTTTTTCGTGGGACGGGTGTATCAGATTTTGCATAGGGGCGTGCTACAAATTAACCGGCTTATAACTTTCATCTGATCAGGGCGTTTCATCCATTGTATTAGTATAACCGCGTCGTTCTATGCTGCTACTTTCGTTCTCCTCGTACGTGACAGCAGCGCCACCGTTGCTGTTCAACAGCCCCTTTGCAGCTCCCCCCGTGCCATCTCTTCCAGCAGCACCACCGCTCTTGCCAGCCGCGTCTGCTGCAGCGCAGCTCCGTCCGTGGCAGCAGCGTCTTCGTTGCCTCTCCAGCTGCAACGCAGCTTCGCCGTCAGCATGGCAGCATCGTCGTCGTAGCATCGCGTGCAGCAACCAAGCTCCATCGCCAGCCATGGCAGCAGCTCGTCGCCTCGTCCGCCGCAACGCAGCTCGCCATCGGCGTGGCAGCAGCTCGTCGCCTCGTCCGCCGCAACGCAGCTCGCCATCGGCGTGGCAGCAGCGCCCGTTGTAGCATCGCATGCTCACGCAGCTCCGCCCGCCGGCCATGGCAGCAGCGCCCTCCTCTCCTAGCCTGTAGCACCACGGATCAACGGCGGTTCGGGTTGCAGCAACGGTGCCTCAACTCCAGCAGAGCACCGTCCCCCGGGAGCCATCTTGCAGCGAACTTGGTCGATGTGTGCCACTGCCGTGTGCGTAGGGGAAGACGAAGACTTGGGTGAAAAATCTGTACAGGCTTGGGGATAAGGTTGGATGAGATGAAGTGGTTGGTGCTCACCGTGACACGCGACTTATCACACGAGAGATCAGCCGGTTGAAAATAAACAATTTCCCTTTGCATACGAGGAAGAGGGATATGTTCACTCCAAAGCCATTTCCAGAGCAGACTAATATTCATCAGATTTAAGTTTGAAACACCCTATAACCACCTAACTCTTTGGGTCTGCAAACAGCCAAACAGTTTACCAAATACTGATTGGTCCATCCAGTAGTGGCCTCCACCTCTATACAGTACAGCACACGTACGTACTTGCTCTGTTTATGTGAGTTCGTGTGTACGTACTGGTTGTGGTGTGACGAATTCCAGACAGGAGTAAGTTGGCATAAGTTCCCTTTCTAGCCGTTTTTCAATTTTTGTTTGACGATATGATACGAAGATATTTCGTTGATTTCATATTTGCCATTTTGCCTCATAATCGGAACAACAAACTAAAGATCACGCAAGGTTATACGACCGTCTTGGTCCAGCTAAGCATGCACGGGCACTGAACTCCATTCCAGCCGAAAGAAAAGGGCAGGTTAGACCGTCAGAGACGAGAACACATGCGGAGATTGTCCCTCCGATGGTGGCGCCGGGCCGCGTACGCAGCAGCGAACAAGCCCGGCCACGCCCAGCCAGCGAGATCGCCGGAGCGCCGCTCGTTGCGCGCTCCCTACCTCCCATAAATACCAGCCACTTCATCCCTCGGAATCCACACAGCAAGGCAGCCGCTATACACACAATAGCAATCAAATCTCTTGGATCAACCGAGAAGATGGCCTCCGCCTCCAGGATGCTCACGGTGGCGGTGCTGGCGGCGCTGTTCGCCGGCGCGATGGCCGTGAAAGTGAAGTTGACGGTGCAGAAGGGGTCGGACAAAAAGAAGCTGGCGCTGAAGATCGACTACACGAGGCCAAACGACAGCCTGTCAGAGGTGGAGCTCCGGCAGCACGGCTCAGAGGAGTGGGAGCCCTTGACCAAGAAGGGCGACGTGTGGGAGGTCTCCTGCTCCAAGCCGCTGGTTGGCCCCTTCAACTTCCGCTTCTTGTCCAAGAATGGCATGAAGAACGTCTTCGACGAGGTCTTCTCCACCGATTTCAAGATCGGCAAAACCTACGAACCGGAATATTGATCCACACCGTCCAAGTTTCAGTTGATCAAGATCGTCGTAATTAATTAATCCCCATGCATCAGTCGCGTTGGAAATATGCGCCTCCATGAGTGGATAGCTAGTGAATAATTTTAATTTTTTATGCACATAGTACATGCATATAGTAGTAGTAGGAGAAGCAACGACGGATGTGTTTGCTCTCCCATGCATGCATCCACTCTCGATCGATGCAGCACTTTTCTTTTGTGTAACCGAATATGCTCAAGAGTTTTGAGATATTTGACTATATTTTTCCATTCACCTTTATCTTTCATACTCCCTCCGTCTCATAATATAAGACATTTTTAATTAGTTTGCAAAAATGTCTTATATTATGAGACGGAGTGAGTACATCTCTTTATGCATCTTATTTTATCTTATACTAGTATTTACTAATTGAAGGCACCATTCATGCGCTTTCATTAATCCGTGTCGTCAAAATTAATTAAACCGTTAACCCGCAAAAATAATAATTAATTAAACCATCAGATCGTAAAATTTCCATCCAGAATTAAAAGAAATCTTGCGTAATGCATACAGATAATCCCGTTCCATAAATATGGATTTGACACGGGTTTCCAAAAAAGGAAAGGCCACTTTTAAAACACCAAGTTCTCTCATTTCGGTTCCATAAAAAATAGATCTGACATGTCTAACATTAACAAAACAAAACAAGGACGAAAAAAAATTAATGAAAAAAATACAAGGAAAGCCTCCGTCCGTTTTCAAAAATAAAATAAAAATTAAAGCCCGCGCTCTCATTTTTGTCGCAAAAAAATACGGATCTGACACTTCTAACATTAATAA